CTATATGGCCTCTGTCTTAATGTGTAAATCTCCTGTTTAGTCTTTATTCAGCCATATCCTTCCTTTTAACACCTTTTTATGCCTATTGTAAATTTTGAGATTCCCTTTTATGTTATCTGTCAGTCTCTTAATACTCCACCAATTTTTCTCATTACTTTTTCACCTCACCTCTGAACTTTTGATATTTAGGCTTGGTTCTCAACTGTATTTTCTACCTGACAGCAGTTGATGTTGCATTGAAACATGCAAACAATGAAGAGATACTGTATTGCCAAATTATGTAGTCCAATGAACAAAATGATTCCATCCTGTATCTCAAACATTTGTTTGATATCTGACTATTCTATAGTAAACTCAGTTATCATACACAGAATGAGGTGAATAGTTGAGAATGAGTTAAGTGAATAGCTTTTACTTTCAGATTTTACATTGTCATGCTGTGGTGAAGTTTCAGAATCTTCTCATTCAATAATCTGCTTTGGTGTCTTTTAATTACTGTGCAATTATTGGTCACTCCATTTATAATGATCTTTGACATAATCTTAACTAATAACTTTTTTTTTACCATGTTCGTCTTATTCTTGGTTAGGAGCAATTTTTGAGTAGTGATGTTTGTCTTGTTAACTTTGCTTCTTTTTTTTTCTGACCTATGGTCATATTGTGTACAGGTACTGAAAATTTTCTTCTTCATTTCTCTATTCTGTAACTAAAAATTGTACCTAGGTACCTTTGTACCTAAGATGGCGCTGTAAATGGTGACTTATAAACTTTTCACGTACTGATTTGAGTATATGTGATAATAAATTCAATTCAATTCAATTTAATCGGCTCAGTGCTGGTGAGTCAAAAGGATGTGAATTAAAATCCCACAAGTTTGGAGCACATGGTCTAGGTTGGCACTTAAATGCTGCACTAGTCGGTGCTGTCTTTCAGGGGAAATTTAAAACTGGGGTCCTGTCAGTCCTTCCAGCTATCCTGACCAGTCCAAGAACAAACATCTAAAACAGGTCATTTATTTCATTGCTATGCATGGGAACCTTTCATGCGTAAATTGTCTGCCACAGTTCTTGCTTTACAGTGACTAGATTTCAAAGATACCGAATTAGCCAAATGGTGCTTTGGATGTTATAGAGTTCTGAAAGGTGTTATATAATGTAGGTCTTTCTTTTCTTCCTTTCTTTATTTGCATAGAAATTGTATTTCATGGTGTTACACATGTGCATTTATTTATTAGTGTCATTATTGTCTCATATGAGACTTATATAAGTGATTTGGATGTGAACACAGGAGGTATGATTAGTAAGTTTGCAGATGACACTAAAATTGGAGGTTTAGTGGGCAGCAAAGAAGGTTACCTCAGAGTACAACAGGATCTCAATCAGGTGGGCCAATGGGCCGAGGAGTGACAGATGGAGTTTAATTTAGATACATGTGAGATGCTGCATTTTTAAAAAGCAAATCAAGGCAGGACTTATACACTTAATGGTAATGTCCTGGGGAGTTTTGATCACCCTGGAGTGCAGATTCATAGTTCCTTGAAAGTGGAGCCGCAGGCAGATAGGATGGTGAAGGCAGCATTTAGTACTTTTTCCTTTATTCATTAATTGGATGAGGGTGTCGCTGGCTAGGCAGCATTTATTGCCCATCGCTAATTGCCCAGAGGGCAGTTGAGAGTCAACCACATTGCTGTTGGTCTGGAGTCACATGGAGGCCAGACCAGGTAAGGTTGGCAGTTTCATTCTCTAAAGGACATTAGTGAACCAGATAGGGTTTTCCCTTGACAATCGACAATAGATTCATGGTTATCATCAGACTCTTAATTCCAGATATTTTTATTGAATTCAAATTCCATTATTTGCCGTGGTGGGATTTGAACCCAGGTCCGCAGAATGTTATCTGGGTCTCTGGAGTAATAGTCTAGCGATAATACCACTAGGCCATTGCCTCCTCTTCATTTGGTATGCTTGCCCTTATTCGTCAGTGCACTAAGTATAGGAGTTGGGAGGTCACGTTGTGGCTGTACAGGACATTGGTTCAGCCACTTTTGCAATATTGTGTGCAGTTCTGGCCTCCTTCCGATAGGAAGGATATCGTGAAACTAGGAAGGGTTCAGAAAAGATTTATGAGGCTGTTACCAGGGTTGGAGGGTTTGTGCTATAGGGAGAGGCTGAATAGGCTGGGGCTATTTTCCCTAAAGCGTCAGAGTCTGGGTGGTGACCTTATAGAGTTTACAAAATCATGAGGGGCATGGATAGGGTAAATAGACAAGGTCTTTTCCCTGGGATGGGGGAATCCAAAACTAGAGGGCATTGGTTTATGGTGAGACGGGAAAGATATAAAAGGGAACTAAGGGGTAACTTTTTCACACAGAGAGTGGTGCGTGTATGGAATGAGCTGCCAGAGGAAGTGGTGGAGGCTGGTATGATTACAACATTTAAAAGGCATCTGGATGGCTATATGAATAGGACCGGTTTAAAGGGATATGGGCCAAATGGAACTAGATTTATATAGGATATCTGGTCAGCACGGACAAGTTGGACCGAAAGGTCTGTTTCTGTCCTGTATATCTCTATGACTCTATGACTTGAAATTTATTGAGAGATTCCTAAAATTGAACATCATACCATGAAGGTTTCTTGTTATTAACCATTCATAGGAGAATATACAAATGTTATTAGTAGCATTTTATTGTGACTACATCATCAGTCTTGTTTTTTAGGGCAAATTTAGTCTGGTGTAAACTAAATACCTGTATATATTAAATGTGCTGTGTTGAATCTAAGTGGACTATCTCACTGTTTGCTTTAAAACTAAGCTACACATTTGGGGTGGTCCCACACTCAGGTCCCCCGGGTTTATTGAGAGTTAGCCAGAGTAGAACTAGTAACACTGAGAACTGCTTTACAGTCCCTAATGCTAAGAAAAAATATGATCTGAATTCTAAATTCTGTTCAATACCCAGTGACATTCCTAGGATGAAGGTTCAACTGGATGTTTATTGAAAACACTTTGTTACTCACTTACAGTACTTGATATTCAGCTTGGGAGGAGTTTGACCATTTTTCAGCTGAACTCTGTATTTTTACACACCAGGAGGGAATGCACTCCTTAAGAGTGTGGCGGAAGCAGTTCATTTGGAGGGTTTTCAAAGGAACTTGAATAAGCAGCTGAAGAGGAAATAAAAGGAAGAATGCAGGGAACAGATGTGGTTATGATGTTGAATATTCGGTGAGTATGGTGGACTGTCACTTTAGGAGTTCAATCACTTGATATCATGATGTCGTCACTGGGCATTTTGGGTGGGAACAGCTTAGTCTGACCCTGCTGTCTGCAGAGTGAACACCTCCATAATAAAGCTCCTGCTGTTGTTAAACACTTCTGCCTCCTGGTCCTTCTTGGACTGTAACATGTGGGAGATTCCGCATGAACATGATGGACTGAATCCTTATCTTTAGCAGCATACCCATCCTGTGGTACTGTGATTCCTCACCTGGCTCCGCAAACCTACTGTCCATTGTAAAGGTCAACATTTAAAGTGCTGCCCAGCATATTAGAGCAGTTTGGTCATCTGCTGTCTGTCTGGCCTGTGTTGGAACATGGAGGCAGGCAAGTTGGATTGGGACTAAGATTGTTAACAGTAACCTCCTAGCCAACTCCAACTGTTTTATTTAATGTTCAGCTTATCCCCTCTGTAACTGTTGTCTCTAACTTACTTGACTGTGCTCCTAGTGTTGCTCTTACTCTCTTGCCCACGGTTACAAAAACTAACAAGAAAATTCACTTGGGACATGTAATGACACACCTCAAGGGCAGGTGGGACGTATAGACGGACCTTCTAACCCTGAGATAGGGGCACTACCAGTGTGAAACAAGATCTCAAACAGGAGCAGTAAGAAGGAGTAGGGAATAAGGAAAAAGAAGAAAAGGAAGTCACATAGAAAGATGTAAATGGAGCACCAGAAGTAGAAGGGCTAAAAGTGAGGGAATTGAGCTGGTGAGAGAAGTCAGTAACAGAGGTGAAATTGTAAGCATTTCAATCAACCCATTAAATCTGAGATAGATAATCTTTGTTAAGAATGGCATTAAGGGATATGGGCCAAAGGCAGGTATGTGGAGTTAGGCCACAGATCAACCATGATCCTATTGAACCATGGAACAGGCTTGAAGGGCTGAATGGCTACTCGTATTCTGATGTTCAGACATGTTGGGAGACATTTCCAGCACAAGTGGGACTTGAGGTTGGGTCTTCTGACCCAGAGACAGGGACCCTATCACTGCGCCACTGCCCTGTAAAATAATGGAACACCACGAATTTACGTTATCAATCCTTACTAACCTTCTCTACATCGTTCCCATTTTAGTATAGTTGCTGCCGAAGAGAACACAAGAGGTGAAATTATATGACTGGATCATTCCAAACAGTAAGAGGACTGGCAGTTGCAGGAGATTGATCACCAATTTGTTTAACTGAGAAACAAGGACTATTCCGCCCAGTGAACACATAGATGATGTTCACTGTCCTCCAAAACTAGAGACCCTCACGGACAAAATGTTTACCATCAGCCTGGCCTGAACTGTCGAAAAGTTCAGTTCCTGGAACAACATTACGGAGTGCCTAGCCTCACACTGGGCACCAAAACTCGTGTCCCACAAACTGCGAGAAAATGTTTCTTGAGTGCAAGCTTTTTAAAAACAAAACACTTGCTTCCCGTGTAACACTCCGACAGTCTATCCCAATCGTTTGTAATGATGAGATGAATATTTACCGTTAACCGGTAAACTCAAAGGATCTTTTCGTTTAACAAAAATCCCATTCTGGGAAAAAGGTTTGCTTTGCCAATTTCATTATAAATGGCTCGCTGTTCGCTGAAAGTGAATAAAGGTATTAACAACATTCGCTAACCGCACATGTTCGGGATGTTCCCGCAATGTGGGCTGTATCATCAGCAATAAACGCTTCGACCGGAGAAATAAAGCAGTTATAAAGAGAAGTCACCTACCCACTTTGTTACCTTGTTATCACAGGCTGGTTTTATCCCGATCAGATCACTTGGATCGATCTCACAGCCAGATTTCCCTTGTACTTCCCCGGCTACTTGACAATTATTTCTCGAATCTCATCGATCCTTTGTCCTCGAGGTTCAACTTAAGGAGCTGTCTTTAATCGCAAAAGGGTTAGTTTTTTTTTCGGCTGGTTTCTACAGATATTGAACATGCACCAGACTAGAGAGAAATCATCGCGCAAACGCCGTCGCCTCTGCTCCCCTGTCCTTAACCTGAAAACTACACCGTCCCCTGTCCTTAACCTGAAAACTACACCGTCCTCCTGAACCCACCTGCCGGCTGTTGACTGATAATGCCCGGTCCGAACTCGAACTCTTCACAGAGAAAAGTTGGGAAGTGAGTGAGTGACAACAGCCAACGGCAGCGTTGTCCCAGCTCGCAGCCCTTTCTAAATATAAACCCGCCTTTACACTGCTTTCAGGGTGGGACTTGTCTTATCAAGTCACAGGGCTGGAATTCGCCCGAGCCATCTGAGCGCCAGCAGTGGTTGCAATTTCCTCTAGACCAAGACTCATTTTCGCGTGTAAACGGGCTGTTCTTTAGCACCAACCAGCACCGAGACCCTTCCCGTTCGGTTAGGGGTGAGGGAGCTTTCGGGAAATTCTGCGTACCCAATACCTAATCAACCGCCCAGCATCCGGGTGAAATTTTTCCTTGGCTAAGCCCCCTTTAATTCTCACAATGAACCCCACTTCGGAATTGTTTTATACTCTGGAGCTTTATACTATTTAAAACAATTAATCTCTTAAAGTCACGTCCTCCGCCCCCACCTCCCACCCTCCGGGATATTTAACTAGACAGTTATGACTGTTGACGATAAATAGCATCTCTTTAAAAATAGAATAGAGGAAGTTGTAACCAGACATTAATCCCATTAAGTGATACATGAACCACCAAAGCACAACTTGCAACATTTTAAAAAGGCGAGATGATGCGCTGTACTTGCTATATGCTATTTTAATCGCCTACAGGTAGATCTGCAGGATCTGTCTTCGCGTTCAGTTTAGGGTGTTGTCAATAATGTAATGCAAGACATATAATATTGACACTTAGATACCCCATAGACAAGATTTATACCAGTGAAGTAGTAAGAACATTATTATTATTGCTGGAACAGTAACTCCTTAAGTGCCTGTTGTATTAAAGTCTCTTTAGTCTGAACCTATAGGCAGTTGGTTCAAGAATCAGGTCAAAGACATGAGTATATTATCAACTCAATACAACACTGAGGGAGCACTACACTGCTGTCTTTCAGATGAGACCTTACACTGGCATGATATCTGTTCCACGGCATATTAAATTGTCCCACAACAATATTCAAAAAAGAGCAGCAAAATTATCTTGGATATTTATTTCTTTTATCCCTAAGTCAACATCCCTATTTATTTCAGATCCCCCTTCCCCTCCCTCATTTCTGAAGAAGGATCTAGGCCCGAAATGTGAGCCTTCCTGCTCCTCTGATGCTGCTTGGCCTGCTGTGTTCATCCAGCTCTACACCTTGTTATCTGAAATGTAAATGTTTGAAAACATCCTGGTGAAGCACTTTGGGATGTTTAACTTTGTTAGTGATGTTAAAGTATGAGTTATTGTTGTTAGAAGTGTATGCAGTTATTATCTCATTGCTCTTGGTGGATCTATGTGTTGTACAAATTATTTCTGCATTTCCTCTATTACATCAGTGACTACATACTAAAATATTCCATAAATGTAAGGAAACTATCCTGTGTATATCCTAAGTTGCATTAAGTTCTGCTCACTCACCACCTGGTCTTCGCCGACCTATACTGTTCCTCAATGAAGTAACTCATTGGTTTTAAAATTCTCATGCTGTTTCTTTCACACCCTCACCCCTCCTTTCCCATGTAATCTCCTCCAGCTCTGCAAGCCTCTGAGAGGAGGCTCTGTACCTTCCTCTAGCTTCTTGAGCATCATTGGTGGCTGTGCCTTCATCTGCCCATGCCCACATCTCTGGAAAGTTTCTCCCTAAACCTGTCTACATCTCTATCTTAGACAACAAGGTGCAGGGCTGGATGA